AAATTTAATTGTTAATTTAAATCTTTATGAAATATTAAAGTGACCATCTACATACCTGACGTAGTACCCAGTGTTTCTTGTTAGTACTTGTAAAATACAAAGAATTGGTCGATAGGTCATTTTAACTTATTTAGAATTATTTCTTTAAGAATAATATTAATTTTTTTACTAGTTTTTAACAGAAAATTATATAACATAAGGTAAAATACAGACCTAGTAATGTAAATAATATATGATTTTTTAGTTTGTGAAGTTCTTGTTCAAAATTTTGTTCAATAGCTTGAATCTTCTTGTTTAATTTGTTAAATTCTTGTTTTACTAAAACGTTCGCAGATAATTTTTGTAAATCAATTTCATTTTGAATCTTTTTAATCACTAGATTTGTTTTGACTTCATCTTGCACTTGTATTTCTTGAACTAATAAATTAATTGTTTTGTCAGTTTTATTTTGAATCTCTTTAATTAAGTTTAAGCAGACTTTATACCATATTATGAAATTGCAAACCAATTGGATTATCTTATTAGAAAAGGTAAAATTTTTTTACAGGTAGTTAAAGAAGAGCCTAGAGAGTAATTTTCAAAATTTTGAGTTTCAAAATCCATATTATGAAATTTAAAAAAATTGGTGAAAATTTTTTACTGGTAGTTAAAGTTAAAGAAGCATATATTACAGCTATATGTATTCAATACTTAACTATTGTCTCAAATTTTATTAGAACAAAGTTTACCTATTTTTCTGAGTTTTGTATCTATATAAACAATATAAGCATTACAGGTAGGAATGTTCCAAATAAGGGGACCGTTAAAGCTAGATACCTTTATATATTTTTTATTATTTAATTAAAATTAGGGTAAGGGTTAGTTAGAGGTTAGGGTTAGGGATATTTTATAAGTAAAATTGCCTCCTTGACATTTTTTATTAATGCTTCGAGACAGGTTTAGATACTTGTTTTTTGTATTTTTGGTGTTTTTCACTTTTTTTCTTTGTTTTTGTCATGTCAAGCTGATCTGTGATGATCAAAATTTACAATTTGATTGGCTGTCAGTCACATGATGGTATCTGGCTTTAACAGATCCCCAAATAAGAAAATGATGATCCTGATCACGCATATTAGTTTAGCCAATTAAAATTGTACATTTTTATTATATGAAAAAGATCACATATTGATTAGCCAATCAGATCGTAAATTTTTTATAAGATGAAAAAACAAAATTTAATTAAAATTTATTAAAATTTATAGCTAAAGCTCAAAAAAAGGCTGTTAAATGTTACTGTTAGATAAGCAAGCATGTAATTATTAATTTAAATCGGGATTATTAACCTTTTCATAGTATTTATTTTTATTTATTTACAAAATCTTAATAATCAATATATGTTTAATTCTACGTCTAATTCTACGTCTAATTCTATGTCTAATCCTATATCTAATCCTACATCTACTCAAATTTCTAATATCTTATACTATACTATCTTACACAACTATCATTCTAATAAGAAAACTCTGCTATTTTAATATATCTTATATATAAACTTCTTAAAAGCATCTACAATAATATTATTAATAAATCGAATAGTTAATTAACATTAATTAACATTATTCATATACTTCAATTTTTAAAGGATATCTATGCAAACGTAAAATAAAAAAAATATACAACCTAATTTCTTCCCCCTACATTAACTTTATTAAGACTTTTTTGTACGTTTTTTTTTGTTCAACACAAAAGATTTTGTTAACGTAGTGATCGAATTTACTTATAACTTCTGCAGGTAAAATCAATTAAAATTCTTTTGATACGTGAAATACGCGAAAAAATGAAATTATTATTAACAAAAACAAAAGCATTTTTAATACTAAGGTAATTTTATTCTATTTTTCAACCATTGATATTTACTGAAAATGTGTTACATCTAACATATTACTACTCTATAGTTCTATACTACTATAATTAAATCACACCCACATATCTGATATTAAAGATAATTTCTTTTTTTGTTTGATATATAATACGTATATGTGTCGTAGTTCAGCTAAAATAAATCATGTTAAAGTATTTATATTGCATAGCCTGTTAAATAAATGTATAAAGTTTTATGTTAGTATAACACTTACGGTTTAACAATTTATAACTCTATTGTTTGTAACATAGTAGAAACTATAGATGCCTGACGAAACCATGTGATGCTAATTGTCACATAATGAAACTTAATAAAAATTAGCCAAAATTTTAGGGTTTTATATTTTGTGTCATGTGACAATTAGCATCACTTGGTTTCGTCAGACATCATTAGCAGAAACTCAATAAACGCAGTCAATTACCAAACGCCCTACCTTTGTTCTTATAAAAACTTTCTGGAGAAAGCAATTAAAAACGATTAGAAAAGATTTTTCTGCTAGACAAAACCATGTGATGTTAATTATCACTTGTTGTAAAATATAAAGACCTAAAAATTTAATCTAGTTTTTATTAAGCTTCGATATGTGATAATTAGCATCACATGGTTTTGTCTAACAACTATATTTTATTTATAAATAGGGTACCTGGAATTTAATTTATTATGGTTAAACGGATGGTAAAATTGCTAGTTTTTAGACAACAATCGTATATTAAATTTTCAATTGCCTATATTAAAAAATTTAAAATAAAAAATCTCCAAACTTGATATAAATTTATATTTTATTTTTAATAATTTAGTAGATTCAACAATTAAAATATGCAATTTATAGATATATAAAAAAAAAAAAAGAATTACTGACTCTGATTTAGACATCCTCTGTGTTAGGGAAGAGTCATTAATTGACTGCCATTTTTGGTATTTTTCAGGTTTTTTTGTTTTTATTTCTTGTTTTGCTTTGCCGCTTTAGACGACCTCTAC